TAAAAAATAAGACGTTATGGGCAAATATTGTATTTTAAAGACTAAAGGGGAAAAATGTAAACAAATAAACAACATAATTACAAAATAACACATTTTAGGCTAAATTAGGCACAAACTGAGGACAATATTTTCCTGACATACAGGGTTTATTTAGTTGTCTGAAAATGTAACACGTTTAAAAAAATACAGCGATAATACCAAAAACCGTGATCATTTTGGTCACAATAACCGTGACGTTAAATTTTCACACCGTGACAACCCTACTGAGGACCCTTAGCTACTTTCTGTAGAACTTTCTTCTAGATATTTCCTGCAAATTAGCAACAAAATAGCCATTTCCGCTTCGAACCGTTGTTTGGTTTGACGTTGTTTCAGGTGTTATTAAGGATATAACAGTTACAGATGCTATGAATGTTACTAGAGTGTAGCTTACCTTGTAAGATGTCTGACTCCCATGCAGAAGTCCTGGGTTTGATTCTGGGTGTGAACGTAGTTTATTTAGTTTCTTTTTTACATTAATGGTATATTTTTTTACAGTAAGATGTCCAAATTTTTATTTGAGACTCGCCGAACGGCATTGAATTCACAGATATAAAAGATGTGGGTTCAACTTTCATTTTGGAAAAATTTTTCAAGCAAGGGAAGGGAATGATCTGAGCATGCAGGAGGACTGACCCATCATAAACCTTTGTCGGCTGTGCTGAAGAGAAAGGTACAGAACCAAATTATTTAATTAATTAGCTGCGCGTTCTCCTGTCCCCCCCCCCCCCCCACACACACACACACACACACACACACGGGACTGTCAGCTCTCAGAGCTCTGTGAAGCTGACCCCCTCACTGATAAAAAAACGCGTTAATATTCAGAATCAGAAATCAGAATCAGAAAAAGCTTTATTGCCAGCGCTCCAGCGAACCAGAGCATAGGAACTTGACTCCGCAGCACAGCCTGACCAAGGTTACACACACACACATGTAGACAGAACAGATACAGGCAGACTACGAGAGCAGCCATAACGGCGCTCATTTCAATTAGATGAAAAGGGGATTACACGAGGATAAATTGAGGGAGGGGAAAAAAGGCATACCAGAGTTACTCCCGGCAGGGCATAGCTTTACTAAGCAAAAAAACGCCTCAAACATATAAGCACGAGCATCAACAATTCACAACGATTCCGGATCTGTAAAAAAAAATATCACGTATCACGTGTCGACTCCATTTACGATCACATGATCTTATTGGACCATCCCTACTTCTGGAAGCATAGGCTGATGTTTGGAGAATCACAGAGGGCCGGTGGCTGGAACGTTCAGCAACTCACCCACTTTCATCAGAGGATCGAGCCAGGGAGTGGGCGGGCTTTTAGAAAACAAGATGGCGGCTCCTGTAAACAGAATTACATGGCTTCCCTCTTCAGCAGCTGAAGCAAATGAAGACAAATCTTGGAAATGTTCAACACAGCATAATCAGTACAGGAACAGATGATAGCTGAACTGGGCCTCTAGGTTCTGGATCAGCTGGACCTGGTTCCTGTAGCTCAGTAACGTTAACCTCTACTATCGGTGTTAGAATGCTGTCACACCGCCTAACCCGAACAAAGATGGTTTCACAATTAAAACCTCAGAGAGGAGCTCAGAGGAACACCTAAAAACACAAAGCTGCAGAAAGAAACAAACGACACGACGCAGAGAGAATGAGTCTTTAAACGTCGACTTCTGCCGTCTAACAGGAAGCAGCGTTAGCCTCAGGTGTTCTGCTTCCTGTTAGGCTTTGATATTCAAACTAACCTTAAACGGCACAAAACACCTCAGCAGTTCAAACACACACGGACACACACACACGCACATACATACGCGTGCAGACACACACACACGGACACACGTGTGCACACACGCACGTGCTGACACACACACACACACACACACACAAATGCACGTGCGCACACACAAACACACACACGTGCACACACACACAAACGCACACACGTGCACACACACACAAACGTGCACACGTGCACACACACAAACGTGCGCACACACACAAACGCACACACACGTGCACACACACACAAACGCACACACGTGCACACACACACAAACACACACACGTGCACACACACACAAACGCACACACGTGCACACACACACAAACGCACACACGTGCACACACACAAACGTGCACACACACACAAACGCACACACGTGCACACACACACAAACACACACACGTGCACACACACACAAACGCACACACGTGCACACACACACAAACGCACACACGTGCACACACACAAACGTGCGCACACACACAAATGCGCACACACACGTGCACACACACAAACTCGCTCACACACACAAATGCGCACACACACGTGCACACACACGCACTTCTGTTATGTGCTGAGTGCTTCTCTTCTCATCCAGTAAACACGTTTATTGAAACTCCTGCAGTTTTATCTAAAAGAGTCTTCGTTCCTCATAACCACAACAAACCTGCACAAATGACATCACACGTAAATCCAAACACCACTGAACCCGTGTTAGAGCTATTAGCAAACAGGATGTAAGAAGAGTAAAGCCTGGTTGTTTTATCATCTGAGAGAATTCCAGCAGAATAAAAGCTCCAGTCTAAACACACCAGTCTAAGCTGTTTTATTGAAACACCTTAAAGTTCCTTCTTCCTGCTCCACCTCGCGTCTGCTGTGTGAGCCACATGTAAAAGTGTCTGGTTGTTTCATTATTTTCCAAATAAAAGCTTTTTACATCAGCCCATATTTACCTGAGATGGTTTCTAAAACAGTGTTTGTGTTTAGCAGCAGTGAGTTCATGTGATGAAGATTATCTGCTTCTACCACCAGCTCCTTATTCATCTCACTCTGGTAATAAATGAATACGGCGTGAAGAGTAATCGCTCTAATTGGGGTTCTCCGGGTCTCCAAATGCACATTAGCTCCAGCATTCCAACAAATTATTTATAAATGAATAAAACATAAATAAGCAACAGGAGATACAGGTCACACACACACACACACACACACACACACACACATCATTACCCATTAATCAACGCAAAGCCCACGAACAAAACTGTGTGCTGCACCTGAATATGACTCTAAATGGTTGAAATGAAGATAAACTTTTCTTTAATTGGCCTTGTGTGTGTATGTGTGTGTGTGTGTGTGTGTGTGTGTGTGTGTATGTGTGTGTACGTGCGTGTGTGTGTGTGTGTGTGTGTGTGTGTGCGTGTGCGTGTGTGTGTGTGTGTGTGTGTGTGTACGTGTGTACGTGCATGTGTGTGTGTGTGTATTTTGTGTGTGTGTGTGTGCATGTATGCGTGTGTGTGTGTGTGTGTGTGTGTGTGTGTGTGTGTGTGTGTGTGTGTGTGTGTGTGTGTGTACGTGCGTGTGTGTGTGTGTGTGTGTGTGTGTGTGTGTGCGTGTGCGTGTACGTGTGTGTGTGTGTGTGTGTGTGTGTGTGTGTGCGTGCGTGCGTGTGTATGTTTTTGTGTCTGTAAGTGTGCATGTATGTGTGCGTGCATGCGTGCATGTGTGTGTGTGTAACTGCAAAATAACTGATCGGGAGCTGGTCATAAGGTCATAAGCCCCTTTCTTACGACACGACACACATTTCATCCAGACCCAAAGTGGAAAATCAGCTTAAAATGAGCAGAAAATCACAGTTTATGTCTGTTTTTGTGGCCCAAGAAGGATCCCACTTAACTGAAGGTGTTGCAAATGCTTTGCTAATATTTTGCTAACATGTTGCTAATGAGAGAGCTGTTAGCGTTTGTGCATTTAATCAGAAACGTGGATCAATCTGAAAAACTGCAGGTGTAAATAAACTTTTACAGCTAAGCAGAAACATCGAACTCTTGCTTTGTTTCAACACGTAGTCCTACCGTGTGTGTGTGTGTGTGTGTGTGTGTGTGTGTGTGTGTGTGTGTGTGTGTGTGTGTGTGTGTGTGTGTGTGTGTGTTGAGCAGTGAGATCCATGGGCACCACGGTCCACAGAGACATGGCTGTGTGCTACACTGACATTTCATTTCCAGGTCACTACAGCAGTCCAAAGGCTCTGGGGAAAAAGGTGCAACCACCCCGCTGCCATGGCAACGCCGCCTCAGGAGAAACAGGAGTTCAAGGTGACGAAGATACGACACAGAATGGTCTCTGCAGTCGCTGATATTTTAATTCCTGCTAGTTGCTGCTGCTGGTCTGATTGTTTCATAAAACGATCATTTCTATAGCGTCTCTCAAGATAAAAATCACGAGGCGCATCACAAAAACTAAAAATGTAAAAATATAAAAAATTATTTAGAATATGAAGGTACAACAAAAAAAAGTCAAAGTATTACAAAAGCTTCTGGAAAGGTTTTCTGGATCTGATGAGTTCCAGACTCCAGTTGTGAGAAGAGTGACGCTTTCAGAGTTTCACTAGCATGCCCACTTTAGATCTGTGTTAAGGAGCATAAATGAAAAACCTTTCTCATAAAACATCTTTTAATAGACTCACATTTTGTGGCCCAACAGGATTATTAACTTGACTATTTTGACTGTCGTCCTGAAAGGATTGGGCACCTGAGCCATAGATGATCGAAGTACCGCTACAGTAACCGGACAAAACCAAGGCAGTTATTAAAATTACTACACGCTGCTTTTCTAGCATCCTCGTGTTTGTGTCTCTTTTGAGTGACGTGCACCCCCATCCAACAGGTAAACACTCTATATGGTTTCATTTTATTACATTTGTTTGATGGTACCATATTAAAAATATGAAACATTTTAATAAACGTTTACAGTAAATGCTTGTATTTTTGTGTCAAAATGTCACAAAAATACCAAAGAAACTTGGAAGTCAAGTAAAGAAAGTGTGTGGGATCATGGGTGAATGTTCTGGTGTTGCTGTGTGAAACAACGATGCAGTGATTTTTGAGTTTTTGCAGGTTTTCAGAGTGAACGCTCACCTTCCCGATGACGGGAATGTCCACGGATCCCCAGGTGTCAGCGCCCCAGTGGACGATCCCTGAGGCAAAATCTGCCGTCACTATTCCGAGAACTGGCTCAGGAAGGGAAAGAAGACAATGTGGGATTAGTACCAGATAAGGTCCACACCTCTACAACAGTCTCTTAGGTTTGTTTTATTATTGTGTTAGGAGTAACACATTACAAAAGTAATGAGTTACAGACTACTTTTTTATAGTAACAGAGTATTTTAGCTCATTACTTAAGCAAGTATGGCAACTAGGGCTGAGCAAAATGATTATTTTTTCGATGCATCGATTAATCTAGCGATTAATTTGTCAATTTGATTAGATTTTGTTTTGATTCAATTGTTGATTATTTCAATTGAGGTGGTTTGGGCATCAGGTCAGGATGCCTCCTGGACGCCTCCCCGGGGAGGTGTTTCGGGCATGTCCTGCCGGCAGGAGGCCCCCGGGTCGACCCAGGACACTTTGTTGAGGTTGCATCTCCAATCTGGTCCGGGAACGCCTTGGGGTCCTGCTGGTGAAGAAGGCCGGGGAGAGGACGGTCTGGAGATCCCTAGTTGGGATGCTGCCCCCGCGACCCGGACCCGGATAAGTGGAGGAAGACGACGACGATTATTTCCCCATTATTTGACTTGTATAGCAGTTTGATTATTACTAATTTATGTATCTCAATGAAATAAAGGCAAATTTCTTCATTTGAACACATTTTAATAAAAAAAAATTAAAAATAAAATTGTTGTAATAGTAGTAAAATCTCATGTTAGAGGTAACATTTAACAAAAAATTAAATGTTGTGCAAACTATTCATATAAATCAAGGAAAATTCATAACAAAAAAAATAAATAAAATATAAATAGCAGCAATGGCGTATTTTAACAACATTCATTTGGCTTTCTGCAAAAAACTGTTCTTCATTTTCAAAATAAAATCAATTTTGAATTTTCTATTGTTCATGGTAAATGGCCTGTATTTGATATGGTGCCTTCTAGAATCCTAGAACCACCCCGTAGCGATCCTCCAGCAGAACCCGAGCAGCCGGGACCTCAGGTTGGCTGAGTGACGGTACGCAGGAAGCATAGAACCCAGCCGGTGGGCCACCACCAACCCGTCCACGTTTCTAATAGATTTTCCCCGCTCAGTGACGCACCCACTGACAAGCCGACTCTGATCATTGGCAGCTCCATAGTCAGAAACGTGGCATTAGAGGCTCCAGCAACCATAGTTAAATGTTTGCCTGGGGCCAGAGCGGGCGACATTAAATCTTACCTGAAACTGCTGGCTAAGGATAAGCGTAAATACAGTAAGATTGTTATTCACGCTGGCGGTAACGACACCCAGTTACGCCAATCGGAGGTGACTAAAATTAATGTTGCTTCGGTGTGTAAGTTTGCCAAAACAATGTCGGACTCTGTAATTTTCTCTGGCCCCCTGCCTGATCGGACCAGTGACAACATGTTTAGCCGCATGCTGTCCTTCAACTGCTGGTTGTCTAGGTGGTGTCCTGAAAACAACGTGGGCTACATTGATAATTGGAAAACTTTTTGGGGAAAACCTGGTCTGATGCGGAGAGACGGCATCCATCCCTCTTTGGATGGAGCAGCTCTTCTTTCTAGGAACATGGCCAGTTTTATTAGTCCTCCATGACAACCCATGGTCCAGACCAGGAAGCAGAGTCGTAGTTTAACCCACCCCTCTGCAGCTTCTGTACTGTTACCCACCCACTACCCCATAGAGACAGTGTCCTGCCCATAGCCAAAACCACACAGATTAAATATCAGGCTTAATAAAGCAAACCATGGAAATCTCATAAATTTTAGAACAAATTCAACTGAACAGAAAATTAGAAAAATTAAATGTGGGTTGTTAAACATTAGATCCATTTTTTCTAAGACTTTGTTAGTTAATGACTTGATTTGTGATAATCAGATCTCTTTGCTCTCTCTCACAGAATCCTCGCTGCAGCAAGAGGACTATGTTAGTTTAAATGAGTCGACACCTTTTAATTATTTAAATCATATTGCTCGAAGTACAGGGCGAGGAGGAGGAGTAGCAACCATTTTTCATTCGGACTTATTAATCAGTCCCTTACCAATTAATAGCTACCGTTCGTTCGAGCATCTTATTCTTAGTTTTCCTAATCAAGATTGCAAAACTGTAAAACCACTCTTGTTTGTAGTTTTATATCGTCCACCAGGCCCTTACTCTGAGTTTTTGGATCAGATCTCTGATTTTTTATCTGATTTGGTGCTAAATACTGATACGGTCATTGTAGTGGGGGATTTTAATATTCATGTGGACATTGAAAATGATAGCCTCAACGTAGCCTTTAGTAATATCTTAGACTCAATTGGTTTTACTCAAAGAAAACATAGCTCCACCCACTCCTGCCATCATACATTAGACCTTGTGCTGACTTATGGCATAGAGTGTGAAGAAATAACGATATTTCCACATAATCCAGTCCTTTCGGACCACTTTTTGATTACCTTTGAGTTTTATATAATTGAGTTCTTGAGACATGAAAGTAAATTTCACTATAGTCGGTCTCTATCTGACAACGCTGTTGCATCTTTTAAATCAACTGTTCCATCTTTACTATCCTCAGCATCTCAGAAGCATGTAGCAGAGGACAATATTTTCAGTTCTAGCCCCTCACAAATTGATGCCTTAGTTCATCATGTTAATTCCTCTTTAAGTGTGGCATTAGATGATGTTGCCCCTTTAAAAATGAAGGTAATTAGGGACAGGAAGTTGGCTCCCTGGTTTAATTTTCATTTACGAGCCTTAAAACAAAACTAGGAAATTGGAGAGAACATGGCGCTCTACGCACCATGAGGAGGCCTACCTACCCTGGAAAAATAGTCTTGTGCTTTATAAAAATAAGCTTTGACAAACTAGAATTGCTTATTTCTCAGCATTAATTGAGGAGAATAAGTATAATCCTAAATTTCATTTCAGTACAGTTGCCAAACTCACACAGAATCATAGCTCTGAGCCATCTATTCCCTTAGCCCTCAGCAGCAATGACTTCATGGGATTTTTTACAAGTAAAATTAATTCTATTAGAAATAAAATCTTTAGCATCCTCCCTAATGCGATTTCTTCTTCCTCAGTAAGTGAGGCAGCATCAGAGGTAACTGTAGAACCTCATCTGTGCTTGAACCGTTTTGATCCAGTTGAGCTTTCAGTTATCAAAAATATTAGCTTCATCTAAACCTTCAACTTGCATTTTGGATCCAATCCCAACCAAATTATTTAAAGATGCATTTCCTTTGGTTACTGCCCCCATTCTAGATATAATCAATCTATCCTTAGTAAATGGATATGTACCACAGGATTTTAAGGCTGCTGTAATCAAAGCTTCACTTAAGAAGCCTTCTCTGGATCCAGATGACCCAATGAATTATAGACCAATATCTAACCTTCCATTTTTATCCAAAGTCCTGGAGAAAATAGTGGCCATCCACGTATGTGAGCATTTAAACACTAATGCTCTGTTTGAGGAATTTCAGTCTGGTTTTAGTGAGTATCACAGCACTGAAACTGCGTTAGTGAGAGTTACAAATTATATTCTCATGGCGTCAGATAAGAATCTTGTGTCTCTTCTGGTCTTGTTAGATCTCAGTGCTGCCTTTGACACAGTTGATCACAATGTTCTTTTAGAAAGACTTGAACATGTTGTATGGATCAAAGGAACAGCGCTAGGCTGGTTTAAATCCTACCTGTCTGACAGATTTCATTTTGTAAATGTACATGACAAATCGTCTTCATACTCCAGGGTTACTTGTGGAGTACCACAGGATTCAGTGCTTTGACCAATTCTTTTTACTATATATATGCTCCCAATTGGTAAAATCATTAGACAGCATGGGATAAACTTCCACTGTTATGCTGACGATACTCAGTTATATTTATCCATTAACCCTGATGAACCTAATCGGTTGGGTAGATTACAGGCATGTCTTGAGGACATAAAAAATTGGATGACTCTAAACTTTTTGCTTTTAAATCAAGACAAGACGGAAGTTCTCATCTTTGGACCAGAAATCCAGAAAAGAAAATTGCTTAGTCAATCACCTGACCTGAATGGCATTAAATTAGTCTCCGAGAACAAAGTAAGGAACCTTGGTGTTATCTTTGACAAGGACATGGCATTCAAATCCCAGGTTAAACAGGTTTGTAGGATTTCCTTTTTCCACCTTCGGAATATTGCTAAGATTAGAAGCATCCTTTCCAGGAGTGATGCTGAAAAACTAGTTCATGCATTTATTACATCAACACTGGATTACTGTAATTCATCACTTTCAGGAAGTCCGCAGAATGTAGTTAAAAGTCTTCAGCTTGTCCAAAATGCTGCAGCTAGAGTTCTGATGAGAATTAAAAAGAGATCATATCTCTCCTGTCTTGGCTTCCCTACATTGGCTACCTGTTAAATTCAGAATAGATTTTAAGATCCTCCTTCTCACATATAAAGCTCTTAATAATCAAGCTCCATCATACATCAGTGATCTGATTGTTCCATAAGTTCCTAACCGAGCACTTTGCTCCCAGACTGCAGGTTTACTGGTGGTTCCCAGAATATCTAAAATTAGGATGGGAGGCAGATCTTTTAGTTATCAGGCTCCTTTCCTGTGGAACCAGCTCCCAGCTTTAGTCCGTGAGGCAGACACCTTGTCTACTTTTAAGACTAGGCTTAAAACATTTTTATTTGATAGGGCCTATGGTTAAAATCTGATGTTAGCCTAAATCAGGACAAGTGGGGGAGTAGAGGGAGGTGGAGTGTACAGTCGGTAAAGACGACTCTCCCTTGCCCTGCCTCCAACATGCCTCCATCTAAATAGGATAGATTATCCAGTTATCTTTGTAGTTATGCTGCTATAGGCTTAGACTGCTGGAGGATACACTGGCCACTTTTCACACTCTACTACTTTCTTCTACTATCTGCTCTTTAACTGTATTATTTTCTGCAATTTCAGCTGTTAACTTCATTTTCTCTCTAAGTGTTTTTCTCCCCAGAAGAAGCTACAACGATGTTCTGCTGAGCTGTGGTGGCCTCATGGAGGGGGCCATCGTCTAACACACTGCTGCTAACCACTTAAACATTCTCCCTCTCCTGATATTAACTTTTTGCTTTCCTTGACGTTGGATGTGCTACTGCTAGTTTATCCGTTTAATTATAGATCCACTAGGATAAATACAATAAAGTTTATCTCTCACCAAATAGAATATTTACTAAGAAATCACAATATAACTATAGAAACATTACTTTGTCTGTTTGTGTGTGTGTATGTGTGTGTGTGTGTGTGTGTGTGTGTGTGTGTGTGTGTGTGTGCGTGCGTGCGTGCATGCGTGCGTGCGTGCGTGCGTGCGTGCGCGCGCGCGTGCGTGCGTGCGTGCGTGCGTGCCTGCGTGCGTGCGTGCCTGCTCTGTCTTCTCGATCCCCAGTGAGTCATGGTGGATGGCTGCTTATACTGAGCCAGGATTCTCTGGAGGTTTCTTCCTGTTAAAAGGGAGTTTTCCTCTCCACTGTCGCTTTATGCTTGCTTAGCATGAGGATTGCTGTATAGTCACTGACACTAGTCAGTCACTTGATGCAATTTGTTGGGTTCCTTATATAGGAAACATTATTTCTGATTGGCTTAATGAACTGACCTGAATTGGAATGTTTATTATATGAAGTGCCTTGAGACGACTCTTGTCGTGATTTGGCGCTATATAAATAAAATATAATTGAATTGAATTGTATTAAACAGTCAACAAGTGTTGCAGACACCATAGAAGAAGATCAACACGCCACTTCCTGCAGCATTTAAAGCTGCTTTAGCAGGTTTACCGAATGAGCTGGGTTTTGAAGGCAAACACCACAGACATATATAAGTAGACGCCTCGTGGACTGGCGCTGCCCACTGGAGCTGCTGAAGTGGCCAGCCGCCATTTTAGATGGGTCTTCATTTGCCCTCATTTCTACTGAAGAAGGTGCTTACCCAACTAAAAAACACATTTTATCTAACTTTCACTAAATCAGCCACAAAATATGGCATGATGATTAAAATATAAACATAATAAAACTAAATACATAAAAATGAATTAAATATAAAATCCTATCAGGAGGCTGCGCAGTGGTTAGAGCTGTTGCCTTGCAGCAGAAGGTCCTGGGTTCGATTCCCGGTCTGGGATCTTTCTGTATGGAGTTTGCATGTTCTCCCTGTGCATGCGTGGGTTCTCTCCGGGTACTCCGGCTTCTTCCCACAGTCCAAAAACATGACTGTTGGGTTAATTGCTCTATCTAAATTGTCCTTAGGTAGGGGTGTGTGTGTGTTGTGTGTGTGTGTGTGTGTGTGTGTGTGTGTGTGTGTGTGTGTGTGTGTGTGTGTGTGTGTGTGTGTGTGTGTGTGTGTGTGTGTGTGTGTGTGTGTGTGTGTGTGTGTGTGTATGTGTGTGTGTGTGTGTGTGTGTGTGTGTGCGTGTGATTGTTTGTCCTGTGTGTCTGTGTTGCCCTGTGATGGACTGGCACTCTGTCCAGGGTGTAGCCCGCCTGATTGCCCATTGAATGCTGGAGATAGGCACCAGCCCCCCCGCAACCCTGCGTGGACAAGCGGGTTCAGAAAATGGATGGATGGATGGATGGATGGATGGATGGATGGATGGAATCCTATCAGGTAGGCAATAAAGGTCATTGGTAATCCCACATGATCTGTTTTCCATCATAAGCTGGTTGTTGTTACTGTAGGCTGCACAAAAACAGGCAGAGTTGCTCACTCTGCATTTACTTTGGAGAGTGGGGAGACCCATCCAATATGGCGGCGACACTGTTACATCCTCCAGCACCCAATGGAGCATCGAAATATTCATGTCTATGGTAAACACGGTCTCCCCTTCCCTTGGTATCTTCCCTGAGACACTTCTGCTGGAACAGGAAACCCGCATTACCAGAGGAAACGAGAGAGCTCTTAACACCTGTCTCTGTTTTCTAGGTCCAAACGTTGTTTGCTGTCCGTGATTTCAAACGGTGTTTATCTTTGGGACTCTGGTAGTTTGTCCTGAAGCTGAAGTGGCAGCAGCCGGCTGTTTCTCCTTCTCTGATGTTACTGAGCGGAGAACCTCTCACACCGGCGGTGTTCTGCTGCTGAACCCAGGGAAGAGCGGTGGTTTGGTGAGGCCGACAACCAGATGGTCCAGTGGTTAGTTTTGGTCTGAAACGTGTTATTGGTGGAGGTTTTTAGACAAATGTCAGAGAACCACTTTATTCTTTTTTTTCCGGGTTCCTTTTCTTTCTTCAAAACATATTTGTAGCTCTAATATGTTAAGAGGCATGGAAAAATGTTTTAAGCTCATTTGTTTTCCAGATTTGCCGTTGCAGCTTTAAAATGTTTTTGAGGAAATAAACTCGTTTTGATGGTTTTTGATAAGAACTTCGATGTTCACCAGACAGACGCAGAGCTGCTGCTGACAAAGATCAAGAGCAGGCTGAGAAAACACAGGATTTAGAGACACGTAAAAAATGTAAAACTGTTGATCAGTTATAGTCTTTTAGAATGATGTCAAAAGTAACTCAAGGTAATGTAACTCAGTTACATTTATGAGATTATATAACATCGTTGTCAGCCATAGCTGCAGTTTTATATCCAATATCGATGCCGCCTCGTATCGGTGCATCCTGAATACACGTATTACATTTTTAAGCTGTAACTAGTAATAGGAACTGCATTACAGTTGTAAAGTAACTTGCCCAACTCTGGTTGCCTTTACAAAGGTTAAGTTTTCGTTGTCCCTGTGATTTCCGATGCCAGCTCACCGATGCCGAGGATGATCCTGTAGACGTGAACAATGGAGAAGTGCAGGAGGAGGAAGGAGAAGTTGATGATGAAGAGGAAGAGGCACAGAATCACACAAACCCACTCCTGGAGCCGTTTACCTGGAGAAGAGCAGAACAAATCATCATCTAGGCATGAAAACAAAAACAAGATGGCAGGAGGAAAGGGAGAAGAGGAGGAGAGAGCAGGAGAGGTGTGGAGGAGCTGCCATCCTGTAATGATGACCCGGGTGAGGCCCTGAAACCACCGAGAGAACAAATCACTCCTTACTGCAGGTCAAAGGAGCACCCGCCCGCCGCAGCTCCATGTGTGTGTCCACAGTGTTAATATGTAATCATTCAGATGAGGACAAGTGTCCTCAAGGCTGCGGGGTCACGACCTCTCCAATGTGAAACACCAACGCCACACAGAGCGGGCTTCAGGTGGGAGGCTGGCCTCTGCAGGGACGCGGCCGAATGCTGAGGTCAAACTAAAACCAGACGTTCTCTAAACTCATGACTCGGCAGTAAAACGGAGCGAGGAGGAGGGGTCAGACAGGAAGCCCCTCCAGCTGGAGATCTGAGCAGCTGAATTATTGAAAACAAACCGATGGGTCGGATCCAAGACTCTCCGGATTTGGACTAATTTCTTCTGAAGGCTTCCACAAACTTGAAGCACTTTAAAATGGATCTTTGCCTCCTCTTTCCTGTTTTTACCGGTTTGTCCGACCCATCAAACAAAAAACAGGAAGTGCAAAATTTACAAAAATAAAGCACCTTGTTTTTAAGTGGCTGTGATTTGTCTTCCCTCGTCTTCCGTCTCCAACAATCCAGCGAGCCGTAAAACTTTAATGTGTTCTGATCCGGATCCACCTCGCCGCATTAACGGCCCATAAGAAATTCATGACCGTTTTTTCTAATAAAACACATGGGCCAGCGAGCGCGACGCCTATAGACCCATGTGAGCATGAATATGCCATCAGCTCCTCATAATGTATGGAGTCAGGAGGTCACGCGAGACTCAGAATATTTGATTATGGATATTTCACGACTCATCACAGGTGACCCTTCACCTTCAGAAGACAGATCAGATAGTCAGAAAGCTGGCGCAGAAGTTCAGCTGCTCCTCTGCAAAGTTTGGGCCGATGTTTGAATGAACATCTGGGTAAATGCATTCATGTTCTAGAGATTTCATGATTCTGTGACACACTGAGGTGAAAACAGGAGAATATGTCAGACTTGGAGCAGCATGAGGATGAAAATGAGGAAATTTCATCTGTGAGTCACTAAAGTTCCTTCCTATAGAGCTCCGGACGTCACGTGACTCTCAGAGAGTAGACGCCATGTTGGCAGGCAACAAAGGTAAACAAAATGAAAGGGATCGGCTTGGATTTTACTTCGTCGGAGTTTACGTCACACTTTAAAACCGAAGAAATCGTTTTATATAGTCATAAATTAAATAGACTAAACATCTCCGACCCTTACCGTGCCCCTGGGATACTTTTTTAAAACGCCAGAAGCTGTCGGAGCGGACTTCTTACCGGACCTGGCCGGGGAACGCCTTGGGATTCCCCCAGAGGAGCCGGCCCAAGTGGCTGGGGAGAGGGAAGTCTGGGCCTCTCGACGCTACTGCCACCGCAACCCGACTCCAGATAAGCAGATGAAAATGGATGGACAAATAACAGATTTACACGCAAGTAGTTTAAATAGAGTGCTGTGCTGTTTGAATGTATAAACTAAACGCCAAGAGAAATCACTAGTTTGATTTTTTTCCGTGAATAAAATAAAAATGTCAGGCAGGAGCGTCTCAGGATCTGTCTGAGAACAGTCTCGGTGAGACAGATAATAGCAATCCAAAGTGCTTTTCATGTGTGATCTGACAATTGATCAACCATTGCTTAAAAATTAAATACAGCTTAGCCGGTTAATTGCTGTCATCATAAAACACGTAAACGGCAGAACTCACGAGGCAACGTTTTACGTGATGTTTACTTGTTGCTATGAGTAATAAGACAGAAAAAGCCCCGCCAAAATAAGTTTAGGAAGCCCACTAAGAATCGTAATAAAAGCATTTAAAATAAATTCCGTACACAGTTGAGGAAACGTTGGTTTAAGTACCTGATATGAAGCGGTCGCTGCATAAGTGAAAACCTTTACTCTCAGGATCCCACAGCTTCATTTTAGCCTGGAGACTAGTGCGTTTTATTACAATGATCCAACGTTTGCGGCGTTCTGGATCTTGGGGAATCCTGTAGATGGCTCATTCCTTATGTCGTCCGCGTCTGTTCTGCATCCTGGGGCACAACAGGAATCTACCATATTTCCCGTTTGATTGAGTTTTCTGACAATAACAAATAGTCCAGCTGCTGGCTTCTGCCTGCCAATATGGCGCCGTTTCGATTTGAACTGTTGCATGCCGGGAGAAGTGACGTCAACTCCCGGAGCTCTATTGCACCTTTAACAGGTTCAAATGTGATCAAAAAGATGCAGAAACTAATGAAAATGTTTAATAAAGATTTTAAATCAAGTTTGACTCTAAATAAGATTTTTAAAAGGTTCTAGACGGTCACAACAGGAAGTAGATTCTCCAGTCCAGCAGCATCAGACTAGAACCAGGTCCCTCCAGGTCCATGGAGAATTGCAAACCTTTGAACTTTTACACATGTTTACACCTTACAATCTTAAATGTTTTTATTGAGATTTTCTGTAATAGACCAACACAAAGTGGCTCATAATTGTGAAGTAGAATTATGTTGATTCATGGTTTTCTAAATGTTCACCATGGAAGATAAACCTGGTAGTCTAAGTGACCTTCAAGTGACATTGACCATACATTCCTGACAGCAGAATTAGATTTATTTCCTGATCAGAGGAACCGAATCTCTGAGGCAGCGATCAGAGTTTAATCGTTTAGTGATGTCTGATCAGCACTCAACTAGTTCAGACTGAAGAACTCAAGATTCCATGAAGGAGCAGAACAACTGGATGTCATCGGTACAAATGTAGGAGCAGAAATTATGAAGTCTAGAAAGGATCTTGTAAAGGAGATCTATATATAGAAAAAAGAGGAGCGGGCCCTAAACAGAGCAGATGGGGTACCCCGTAGAGCAGATTCTTGCTATCTGTTAGCATATTTTTGCCATTTTTTATTTCCTTTGCGTTCACGTTGACTTGATGTGTCAGTCATCTTCAATTGTGTTTCCACCATCGACATATAAATATTGGACAATGGGTTTCCATAGGCTCCAATAACACATTTTTGAAGATGAATGGGAGGTGGCCACCACCACCATTTTCACCGTGTCACAGGTTCCGTCAAGCCCAGACAATTCCACAAAAGGGAAGAGAGGTGGAGCTGAGGGTGGGGCTGTAAGGCTGGGATCAACTGACGACACCCGGTCGAACTAGCTACAAGCTAACCCAAAGCTAACGCGGAGGTGGGAGCTAAGCTAACGGAGGTAGCAACCTAGCTACAACTGGAGTTAACTGTGCACAACACCAGAGCTTCTGAGTCAGAGATACGCCGGGCTGACCGCTGGGTAAAACCGGGTGGAACACAGAGGTCTCCCGAAAGCTACTGAAAGCCGGCAGCCCGCGCAGCAGACAGAAGCCGCGATCAGACAGAGATGGACCGGGCTGCGGGGAGGGGAGAAACGGGTGGAAAACATCGGTCTCCCGAGAGCTCCACAAGCCGATAGTCGGAACCCAGCTCCACCAACATGTTATATTTCAACCCATTTTCTAAAGTGCAGCATTGTGTTAAATGCACTGGGTTTTACCCTATTACATTTAAATTTCATGGTTAAACAGTACATGTTAAATTGAATCTCAGATAGAGGAGGAGCAATGTGGTTTTCGTCCTGGCCGTGGAACTGTGGACCAGATCTATACCCTTGCAAGGGTGACGGAGGGTAGGGCTGCTCGATTATGGCAAAAATAATAATCACGATTATGGTGACTGAAATTGAGATCACGATTATTTAGGACGATTTTTCAATTTATGTTGATTTTATTTGTTTTTATTCAGTCATAAAATTGCTCAGGGCACAATCAGGACAAAAATAAGAAACAAGATGATCACTAAAATAACTCCTGATTCACAGTATAAAAAGACCAATATACTTATAGCTCATAGTTTATGACCCAAGGTCTATAGACCTTGGTTTAACTCATTTAAGTCTAACAGTACAGACCCAAATACCAATATCTTGCAAATACTGACAGCAAGAATTATACAGTGGCATTTATAACAAATACATGCAAATAAATTGATGTTCACAAAATGTTGCATAATACGTATTTAGTCGTGTCAATGTGCTGCTGGAGAGTGCACTAGCACCGTGTCCTCAGAGAGATTAGTTATTATTTATCAGCGTGAGGAACTTATTTCTACCTTATTTATAAACTATTTATTTACAAGTCCATCAGTTAATGTAATAATTGTCCCAACCACAGCTGCACCCCCCACCCCCCAACCCGGTCTCACAGCAATCAGGGCAAGCTGCTCGTGTGTTTAGCACGCTGCACGCGCACATTTAGCCGTTTTAGTGGCTCAGGAGTCCGCAGGTGCGGTGTGTGTGTCACTCACTCTGGTTAATCCAACAGGGAGCCGGCTCCGAGAGCTGTCTTTAGCGACCGACACATCACTACATCATTCCCTTTCCTAATGTCCTGAAGAACGGTCCGGAGAGCAGGCGGAGTGTTTAGCTAACCTGCAGGAAATGTCGACGACAGTTATCCAGAAAGTAGCTAAGGGTTACCAGAGATGTTTCTGAGGTGTTCGCTAGGTACTTTTAGGATAAAAAGTCAAGAAGGGGGTCTGAAAAGCTGCTAGAAATAGCGTCAAAGTCACAAAGTTGGCAACACTGTGGGAGGAGCGCTTCATTTGCAACTCGGCGCAGCGCAGGCGGGAGGAACAAATAATCGGCTTGTTTTGTTTTTTATAATCGTTCAAAACTCAGATCGTAATCGTGATTAAAATTCGATTAATTGAGCAGCCCTAATGGAGGGGGCATGGGAGTTTGCCCAACCAATCCACATGTGCTTTGTGGATTTGGAGAAGGCTTATGACCGTGTCCCCAGGGGCACCCTGTGGGGGACGCTCCAGGAGTATGGGGTGGGTG